CAACCCCCCCCCCCCCCCCCACTTACCTGTCAGCGTCGCTTATCACCGCCGCCGGACCTAGAATCGATCATCCGTCTGAACTTTCTGGTTGCGGGCAAGGAGATTGAGGGTAGAGGAGCAATAGGTCAATTAACCTGTTGGACGGAGAGGAGGGGCATGGCTTGCTGCAGACCTGTGTGTGTCTATGGATGCACACAGCCACTTGCAGGCACGAGCACGCACGGATGCCTTCATAGCTCAGGTTAGCTGACGGAGGGACCCGTGCAGGGGGCGGGGGGAGTGCTGCAGGGAGCCACCAGAAAAAGAGGGATCAAACATTTTTAGTAAAAAGCTCTAAACTATTTTTGCTGTATGGGCCTCATATTTATTAAAAATAAAGCTTTAATATCACTTTAAAGTATTTGAAATACATTTATGAACTCACCATAGCAGCCAATCTGAATATCATTTTCATCTTCTTAGTTCAGAAAAATGAAAGAGGGGGTGCTATGGGTACCATGACAGTGTTCTCTGGTGGCCGGCAGGTGTGCGTCTCAATGCCCCTGTCATCACTGCATGCAGTTACCCATCGCTACATTTCCCAAAATATATTTGCTGCTGCACAGCTCAGCATTAATGTTATTACATCACCCCTGTAGTGTCTAAGAGTATAGGGGGGCATGCAAACAACAGCACACAGGACAGGAAATAACTGCGCCATGCTGACTGTCATGCAGCCAGAAACATAGATTAGAGAAGGGAACCACACAATTTTACAGAACGATTGCATAAATGCAGAGGAACGTTTTAAAATATGAAACCGAACACTGCATTACGGAGGTACTTTAGGTGACAAGAATACATTACTAAGTAAAACAAAACTGGAGCAATATTTGACAACTATCTTGATTGTGCAGATTACAGCACAATTACAGATGATCTGGGTGAGATTTATTTTTCATCCAGACTTGAATATTTTTTTCACTCATATGTAATATTGAAATACAATACTTATGTTAGAAGCATGTACTGTAGCAGCATGGTTTGAATTATCTCACCTTGTCAATCAGCAGCCCACATAACTCCCATAGAGATATACCTAAAATAGTATTCTCATGATTGAGACTTGATAATGGATGGTAAGGATAGTGGAAAAATAAGAACTGGTACATAGCATGGAACACTCATGGTCCCCATTTGTAAACTACACTGTGTGGACTATGTATTCTGAAATGCAAGCTGCCATTAGATTAGTTGTGATACGATTTGACCTTGAGTAGCATTGATTAAACACTCAGCATAGTCAATAGAGGTCAGTATGTACAGTAAAATACATTTAACTGTCTGTACCACAATGTCTCTGTCTGTTCTTCCCTAATAGTAACAGGGAATACAAATAATATTGACTAGTGTCACAATTCAAAAGAAAATAAGATACCATATTATTTGATTCTTAAGATAGAAGAACAAACTAGACTTGATGGATTGGAGCATGGCTGGGGCATTCTTCTGTCTTGTGAATTACAGGTTAATTGGACTATTAAACTTTCCCTTGTATGCATGAATGTATAATAGAAGATGAATAACAGTAGTATCCAAAGTAGAATAATCACCCCTGTTAACACAGTTACTGAGCCTGGATCCCACCTGTCCTTTTTATAGGTGAAGCTCCCCCTTTTGTACCCAAATCTCTTGGCCCGTTTCCCTTCATAACTTTTCCTATTTTAGCCCATTGTATAGATCTTTTTAAATGTACTTAATAGCTTGATAAATTAGCTAAAAATGTTTAGATTGCTAAAAATGTTATTTTAATTGCATAGTAGTTAAGGCTGGAAAAAGATGCTGGTCCATCCAGTCCAACCTATGAGTGTGAGTTGGTATGAGTGTGTGACATTTTATTGTTTTAAGAATATACATATCCTTGTATATTGTGCTCAGTAAGATAGAAATCTACAAGTTTTTTGAATTTGTCAATACTCCCAGCTGATACCACTACTTAGAGAAAGGAGTTTCATGTTTTTGCTGCTCTGACCATAAAGAACATTTATTCCTATCTCCTAAGCCATAATGTATTATTATACCACACTATTTTCAAACTGGGGAAAAAATCTATATTAACCTCCCTGGCGGTATGATTATTCAGGATTTTATTAAGTGTAACCATAGCAGATTACATTGTATTGTGTGTATTCTGTGTACATTGCAACTTTTCACTTTTGAATTTCCCGCCGGGTGTGACGCCCAAAAACTAAACTAAAAGTCAGATGCCGGCCGCGTACAGCAGAGGACGCCGCGGGCTCACAGGGACAGGGTAGGTGACACTCCCGAGTCTGGCTCGGGGTTACCGCTCCTGGTATTGAAAATTAACCCTGAGCCAGACTCGGGAATACCGACAGGGAGGATAAGAACATTAGTTTTTGGCATTATTCACCCAAAACGAACATGCACAAATATTTGCAAGATAAAGGGTTCTGCAAATTGTTCTGCAAAGTGCATATTCAGTGATCAAATATTCTGCATTATCCCTGTAATGTTTACATTACAATAACTTTTATATGACTTTTACTCTTTCTACCTTAATAACTGATAATGTATGATAGCAACATTGTTGTCAGTTGATCGTCCAACTCATAAGGCAAGGAGCAGTAAAGTAAAACTATTGTTTAGCACTGCAAAGCAGGGAGCAGCATTTGAGTATGTAATGTGCATATATGGCTGCACCATGCACATGGTTACATATAAAAAAAATCCATAGAAAAAGACTTTTAAAACATTAAAAAAATACTGATAAGATGATTTACTTGAAGCTAATCTCTTTAACACATTTCTGTACATTACAAACAACTCAACAGAGCTGAACCCAGCAATGAAAATACATAACAAATTGCATACAGAATGGCTTCTTCACAGAGCTGTGAAAATATGGCATAGACTCCCTCAGAAGTTACTTCTAGCTTGCTCAGTTAACTGTTTCAAAAACACAATCTGGATACATTCATAAATGCACAAAATATTACTAGATATTAACATTGTAGATTGTTAAGCTCTCACGGGCTGGGCCTTCCTCACCATCTTGTCTTGATTTGTATTGTAACTGTAATGTCCTCCATATATTGTAAACCGCTGTGCAAACTGTAATAATTCAGCCTGGTGACATCTGTATTCAGCTCTGGTGAGATCTGTATGCAGCCTGGTGAGATCTGGATGCAGCCCTGATGAAATTTGTTTGCAATCTGGTGAGATCTGTACGCAGCTCTGGTGATATCTGTACACAGCCTTGTAAGCTCTGTATTCAGCTCTGGTGAGATCTGTATGCAGCTCTGGTGAGATCTGTATGCAGCTCTGGTGAGATCTGTATGGAGCTCTGGTGAGATCTGTATGGAGCTCTGGTGAGATCTGTATTCAGCTCTGGTGAGATCTGTATTCAGCTCTGGTGAGAGCTGTACACAGCCTGGTAACATCTGTATTCAACTCTGGTGAGATCTGTATGCAGCTCTGGAGAGACCTGTATTCAGCTCTGGTGAGATCTGTATACAGCTCTGGTGAGATATGTACGCTGCCCTGGTGAGATCTGTACGCAGCCCTGGTGAGATCTGTACGCAGCCCTGGTGAGATCTGTACGCAGCCCTGGTGAGAAACTGTCCTAAAATCATTGTGTGTATTTTTCCAGAAAAAATGTAACTTTAAGAAAAAGTATCAGTAATTGGTATTGCCAAGTACCTGAGGGAAAGTACTTGTACTTGGTCTTGATAAAATGGTATCGGGACATCCCTAGTATCAGTGTATAGCAAAGCCTACTGGAGGTAAAATAAGTAAAACAATAACAAACATCTCAAAGTAGAAAAAAAAATAGCTGTGCTAACTTATCACTTCAGGGAATTAAAAGTCAACTAGCAGACGCTTTGATAAACAGCACTAACAAATCATTAATCTCTTTAATGGGACATTAATGTCTGGGATTTGCCACACACACCAAAAGCCTAAGTTCTACATTGGTCTTTCTTAATTGCCCAATCATGATCACCATTTGTTATGCTGGCCACATTGATAGAAAAAGAATGTGCCCAATTAATTTCAGGCTAGTACAGAATACTAAATACTTATGTTGTATTATGACATTGTACCCTGTGTTCCTATTTAATGTACTAATATTTAAATCATATACTGAATGTTTTTTTACTAGGAATTTGGAAGTGCAAAGGATTTAAAGACGAACTCTAGCCAAACAACCAAAAGAAGAACTAAACCCAATTACTAAATTCTTATATAAGCTTTAACATGTTAATTTAATAAAAAAAAAAAAATTCAATCTTTTTAAATATGTAGCTTTCGCTAAAATGATAGCTGTGATCCTTGCTTGATGGTCCTCCTTTTGGCACTTTCTCTTATTAGGTGACAAATGTCTCCCGATTGTGATCCTATGTTGCCACTTCGTCACACATAGTCCCAACGAAGGTTTTAAATGGCTATGCACACATTTGGAAGAAATTATCTACCACTGACACTTAAAGGAAATCAGAACCGAGCAATGATGTGGGGCTGACATTGGGGTGAGTGCATGTTCACAGGAACCTTCTTCATTTCACTATTAAGTTTTGATTAGTACCTTTAAGCCTCTTGTCTATACATGTGTTCTGTTTTTTTAATACTCTCTGTGCATGTCAATTTGATAAAGGGGACAAGCATGTCCCCGAATTCCCAATGATTATATGTCCACTATACTCATTTAAGAAAAAACAACTTGCGTGTTTTAATTTTCAGTGTGCTGGCTTTTCCTTAGCATATGTCTACATGACATTACCATTGTATCCATATTTATTCCAGTTGTAGAATTATGTGTGTGAGATGGCTCTTAGTGGTCATCAGCATATACTGACACTGGTAGGCAATGCCATGGCATACACATTACGAAAGAACTTGCGTGACCATGGCTAATTGAGAGAGTTTGGTGCATGATGAAAAACACTTCTAATGACAGTGTTTCTCAGCAGCAGCAGAGTGAGCATTCATTGTGCTATCAAACTAAATAGTCTAATTACATTCCCATAAAAATATGTTTGAATACCTACAGTATATGTGTATAAATAAAGGCTATTCAACTCTAAGCCTCAAGTTCTGCCTACAGTTCAGCATTTTGGGGCGCAACGGTTTTATACAGCTATAAACCCATAATTCATTACTGCCCAAACATTCCAGAAATCCTCAAGCTTGTCGGAGAAAAATGTACTCAAAATGGCAACTGTAATTTAAAATGGCTTCAAGGTATGTAATAAAATATAAGTGGTGGCATATACATATTGTATATGCATATACTAATTTTAACCTTTGACATATATGCTTTGTTTTATGCATTCGGTGACAAGTTATGGAATATATGATCAAATTAACTTATGATTAAAATCACAAACATCAAGACTAAGGGGTCTATTCACTAAGCTGCCGAAGGCAGCCGAGTGACTAACCGACCCGAAGCGAAGTGAGCCGAACGCTGTTCGGCTATTCATTTCAGGCTGGTATGGCTGATTCCAGCCGTATATCGGCTGAAATCAGCCACATATCGGGTGGCTGCGGCTGGCTTCGGGTTGGACGAACATGCTCAGCAGAATAAGCAGCAGTGGGCGCATGCCTTCAGCTCGACTGAGCCGCTTGGCCGACTTTGGGAGCTGTACGGGCAATAGTGAATAGTCCGTACAGCAGCCCTTCAGTTCTACTGGGTCCTGGGGCCGAAGCTAGCCGAAGGATCAGCCGAAGCTACGGCTAGATCCTTCGGCAGCTTAGTGAATAGACCCCTAATAAAAAAGAGAAATCCACTTGATGTACACATAAAGCACATTAACGTCCATCTTATAAAAAGAACTGTGTGTTCATTTCAAATGAAGACTGAACTTTTGCATAAGAGTGTTTTAACCCTCCTTTCTTAGAAATTTAGCCTTGTAGTTTGCTATTTGACCTTCTATATTATCTGTTAGCTCATAACACCCCCTTTATTCCCTTCTCTCTCTGTACTATTATATAAAAACGGTCGTAATAAAATCAGACCAGCTTATGACATACTTTAATGTGTGTGTGTTGGTCTTCAATATTGTGATATTGTATCATAATTTGAGCCCACTGGTGATGTTGATAGAAGGTAATTTGCACCTACATAACAAATTTATTGCCACGACAAGATGTACTGAGTTTATGGCCCTTGGGGACTAAGCTGGATATCAGCTTACAGAATCTTTATCTGTCAGAAAGCTGTTACTTTTATTTTTTTCTTGTTATAGTCCCTGGTAAAATAATGTAAAACATATTTATTTTACATATGTATGTCCCTCCTTACCATCTTGCCTTGAATTGTATTGTGATTGTAATGTCTTCCTTATATTGTAAAGCGCTGCCCAAACTGTACAAATCCTGTATAATAATAATAATAATAATCATAATAATAATGTTAGCAAATGCAAAGCATTTTATTTCTGCCTTTGTTTGCCATTTGCTATGGGCAGTGCCAAAAGCAGAATTTTTTGTTTTGTTTTTAGTAATTCCAGTAATAGTGATAACATATTAAACCCATTCCTGCCCACAATCTATATATTAAGGTTCTTTGGCCCAAATATGTTAATATACATTCCCCCATTGAGAACCAGTACCCATAACTTTTTGCAGCTGCTGGCTCTCAATGCCAACTGTCAGCGACAGTCAGGGTCCCCAATGACAATTAGGGACCAATCAGAGTGGTTTCCATTCATGTGATCACTATGTAAGCTCTGATATACAGTATAAGCTAAAGGCTCCACCAACAAAAAGAAACCTGCAAAGGAGTGTTAATCTGAAGTGCTATATATTTAATAGTTCAGCTATCAGCTACAGTTTCACTAATATACATATTGATAAATTAATTAAAAAATAGAAAAAAAAACTTAGAGAAAATATTTTTGTTTTATATTTTTGTAAATTTGTGAGAATAGGGAATGAATAAAACCCCTGTTAGTTTTTTGGGTTTTCTTTTTTACTGTACCTGTGAATTAATTTACCTTAACATTCTCTCTCGTAGACGGAAAAGGAAATCTCTCCAAAGAGAGAGGAGATCCCTACAATGACAGTTGTCAATGAAACAGATGTCCCCATTGAAAGATTTCCCCCCACCTCCTGTTCTAGTGGCAACTTTAAAATTTTGTATTTCCTGTCACTTTCCTTTCTGGGGACAATGGTCACCAGGACAAACAGTGAGGGTGATTCCCTAGCAGCAATAATAATTCCTTCCTTTTTTCCCTATTCTAAATTTTACAAAGTTTTTTTTTTTTTGCTTTAGGTTGAGTTTAATATTGATTTGCTAGAAAGCTGATGTGTAAGAATGACAATGCACAATCTGACAGCATCCCATCTTTATGACTAATTTAGAACAGTAGGTTAGAAGTTCCACACATGGGATCCAGGATAACATTGAAGTACACTTTAAAGTGCATTGATCTGGCTCAACTACTGAATACATTTTGCATATATCTCTCTTTACAATGGCAGCTCAAAGTGGGTGGGATATATTAGGCAGCAAGGTTAACCTTTTAAAAGGGGGGGGGGGACCTCAATATCAGGCAGGTGGTCATAATGTTATGGCTGATTAGTAGCATATACAGTACATACAGTATATGTACGTGTGTGTATTTCAGATTACTAACATTAATCTATTACGTTTTTATAATGGCATATTTTGGCACCTGCCTTTTTATCCTGTTTTTACATGTTTTAATTGTCCCAAAATTATTTCTAGAAAAAAAAAATATTGGTTTCCAATACTGACCAAAACATTTCCCCACTTTCTGCATGCTAGTTTCAATTTTTTTTTTAAAGACCACGTGAAAAAAACAACATATTCTTGGTTTATAAGGATGTCATTCTCAGATACTGACCCCAATAGTCAATTAATGTTTTTATGCAACAGCTGGAAGTCTCCAGATTTGTGCCAGTCATTACTGAAAATCAAGTTCACTTGACAAACACAAATCCTTTTGTCAGCTGTGGAGCTACAACAGAAAAGACTTACTATTACAAAGAGAAACCCTGAACCTCAGTATACTGGTATTTACAATGTATTACTGGTCGATTAACACCGCTTTAAAACTTTATGAGCCATTATAGAACATGGGTAAATTAGCATTCCAGGGGTGCTGAAGTAAAAAAAACAAAAACAGCTCAGCAACAAGATGTCCCTGGAATTTATGTTATATTGCTGGCATTAGAAGAATATAAATTAGTAATTAATATTCCCAAGTGCTGTATTTCCTAGCAGGCAAATACCTGGTCATTGAAGCTTTAGACTGAAGCAATGGAGCAGTTAGTGGACTGTACTACAATGCTCCTGCTCTCTTCTAGTGGCTTCTAGATGTGCTGTCTTTAGGTTTGTGTACAATAAATATCTAAGCTGAAGTCTTGCAGTATGGCCTTTAGTGCAATTCATTTGTTCGAAAAGCTAAACATACTATTTTCTCTCCCCTCAATTTAACTCACCTCAGAAAACTGCAGCCTGCCAAAATCACTAGTGGGATTGGCAATCTTAAAAACCTTCTTTGGCATTACCCAGGTCTCCAATGTCTCGAGCTTACTGACTGCAAGATTAGTGGCATGATGTTTAATAAGAAAACCTTGGAAGCGGTCAGCAAGGAAATAAAGATGGACTGAAACCGGGTGGCCCATGGGATAGTATCTGAAAAACAAAATTGAAGAGAAATTGAGAGTATGGAAAACAAAAAAAGACAGACTGCTGCACAGATATGACCTCACAGTCTGCAGTGATAGCAGTGTTACAGCCTAATGCCTTAATCCTATCTTAAAGAGAAGATACAAAAGAATTAAAATTACAGAAACAATCCTAAATTAAGAGTAATGGTCATAAGCAAAATGCAATGACTTGTAACAACTAGTCAGATCTCTGTAGTTAGTGATGATTCTGAGTTCTGATCACCTTTTTAGATCACCAAGAGTTGCTGTACGTAGAACATTGTTATTTGACTAACCATCATATACAGTACCTTAGTTATAGGTTTTAATATGGGATTAATATGGGGATTTAAAAGGTTTTGGCTGACAATTAAGTAATTCAGCCTAGAAGTGTTGGCATAAGGCCTCTTCTCTAAGCTACTTATTCCTAAGTCAACTTAAAACTGATACTTTTGTCTTCTACTGGTAACTTAAATTCATAACTCATACAAAATATTAACTGTTCAGTTGTATTATGAGATTTCTGTTTCAGAACTATTACAGTTGGTCAATTTTTATACATTGCATATTTTCCTCCCAGAGTATGATAGTAACATATTACTGTCCTACTGGGCTTTGCAAAATGTTTTTATATACTCATATTAGGTCTGGGTGACATATAATTTTTGCTTTTTACTCTTTTTTGTGTTACAAATAAAATTTTACATAAATTTTAAATGACAACAAATTAGTGGTACATATAAGCTCTAATAATGCTGCAAAAATATTGAGTAAAGATTGGGCTGTTGAAAATTTAGTTTAAATCAGGTGAAATTTAGACATAGCAAAAGCCATGATGATGAAATATGACTGACTAAATATTTGTAAACAGTGCTCTAGTAAATCATATATACTACTGTGTACACGAATAGTAAACTGGACTTTGCAAAGGTTGGGCATAAATTGTAAAAACACACCTTAAATTGGAGACAAAAAATACACACACACACATGCACTGCAAACAAATCTCAAAGTAATACAAAGCTCTTAAGCTGTAATGATAAAAAAGGTATGCATGTGTCATTACTGGTAGTGCTGTATGGGAACAATGCAAGGCAGTTAAAATACAAACAAGGCTGACATTGATGGTGGACTCCATAAAGACATTGCAAACAAATCACTTCTGCCAATACAAGCAATATCCTACCTGTTGCTCTGAATACTAAAGTGTAGCAATTAATATGTGTAACATTTAGCCAAGGAATTGTCTCAGCAAATATCAGCTTTAGCATTTCGAGTTGCATAAATAGATAACAAAGCAATAATTTCATTGCATATTTTATTCTCTGTAACTATTCTTTGCCACATGGATAGCAAACCAAAATCGTAGTGATGCAAGATTGACTTCATGCTTAAACTCACATTTTGAAAGGGAATTAGACAAACACGAAAGCTGTACTGACTGTCAGCTGAGGATCTCTTAATATATGCAAACAGACAATAGATTGTTAATTAATGTTTTGGACAATGTTTTTAAAAACCTAGAGTGATATTCACAGCTACAAAAATACCATGCACTTAAAGCTTGGAATAAACAATAGATGTAATGGAATTTTTTGTGTAAAAGACACAGAGGACAAGTAGGAGTAAATGATACAATAATTAGGGTACAAAATAGTGGATAAGCTGTAAGAAGTGCAAAGTAGAGAAGGGTTAGATCTGCCAGGCTTCTACTGCTCTATGTGTCTCCAATGGGAAGATTTCCTTTTACTTCCAGTGGTGAATACAGGGTATTACCGGAAAAAAAGTTGTGGAAATTTGAGGGAGTTACGTTCAACTTATCTGTTCTCAATGTTGACAATTCATGTGTGTAAAGCAAAAAAATTTGTTTTAGCCATCAAGTTATTTTTAGGCTGCCTCCCACTGGGGAGATTTACTTTCACTTTAGGACCTGAAGATGCAACAGGAAATGAGAGGAAATATCTCCAAAGTAAATAGAATTCCCATTATAAAGAGCTTTCACAGGAACAGGTGCAGATGAGGATTTCTCAGAAGAATGAAGCCACCACCATACCAAGGTCTACCTTATCCATCTGTCTTTATTTGATGCTTTTCACCATGGTTATTTGTCGTTAATAAAGACGGATGGATAAGGTGGACAGTGGTGTGCTGGTGGCTTGACTCTTCTCATTGTTCTATGCGGCACCATCTGCTGGTCACTACAGCATCCACTAAAGGAGCTTGAAGTGAGATATTGGTCAGGTGTGCGATGGGATACCTTTTACAATGGCAGATTCCCCCTCAACTCTGGCTCTGGTGACATCTCAAATTTTTTTGATTCCTCCTCAGTTTCTTTCTCAGTGATAATGGTCACCAAGCAAATAGAGTGGTAAATCTTCCCTGCAGGGACGCAGACGCCAATAATAACTTCAGAAAGGGTATAACCCTTCTAAATTCTATCCAAAACAACAAAAAATGCCTTTACATACACTTAAAATTAACATCCCCCTATCCAGGTGAACTGGTGAAAAATCAAGTGGAAGTTACAAAATACAAAAAGAGAAACCTTTAAAACAATTCTATTTGCCTTAACAAAAAAACTGCACTACAGTTCACCTCTTTATCCAGAAAGAGTTAAAAAAATGGATCCAGGAGTTTTCTTACTTCCCTGGCGTAAGCTAGATCTTTTAATTAGTAAATCCTGCCTTGAGTTAGATGGGTAGATTGTACACTCTGTGGCGTTCAGTCCCAGTCTGAATAAAACTCAGAGTTATGCTGCATTAACTTGAATATAGGATTTTGAGAGATTCCCGTCTGTCTTAATTACTGCATTCACTTGATATGAAATATAGCTATTACAATATAGTCTATTTAAACATTAAGTAATTAAAGTATAATTAAGCCAAAACATTTCCTTTGATTTTGGATGGAGTAAGGAATGGTGAAGAACTGAAGATCCCCTCTATTCCTGTTCTGGTGGCAACTCAGTATGTTGTTTTTTCCCTCACTTTTAGTCCCAGGGACAATGGCCACCAGGACAAATCAAAAGTGAATCTCCCTAAAAGGGACAGAGATAGCAATAAAAACCCCTCACTCTATGCAGCATGCAGCTAGTAAGGAAAGCAGAACACATGCTTGTTTTGGATGAGTGACTCACCAAGTAATGAAGAATAAAAATAACAGAGACAGGTTCCTATTAAAGAGTCAGGTGAAAAGGTAAGGCCCTTTCACAGTTTACTAGAGCAGATGGTTGGGAAAAAGATTAGTTGTGTTAGTGGTGTTTTAAGTTGGGCTTTTCTTTGGGTTTCATTCTGGAAGCATTCACCTAATGCTATAGGGCATAAGGATTTGCATTAACACAATAGGTGAGCCACATTCTCCCAGCACTTCTGCTACTGGGACACTGGCATGTCAAAATAGTATTTCAGGGAAGGTTTTCACCAAGTAGGCCCAAGTGAAATAAAACCATAGAGATTTTAACACCTATATTTTATTTTTTCAGTGAAAGGGTTTGGGGAAAAAGGTTTGAATAAAGCAAAAACAATACAATGAAAGTGTTAATAATACATAAACCCAATTTCCACATTATTCATGCCTAAAGTTTCTTTTTCTTTGATGAATTCGGCAGTATTATATCACTTACAATATCACCCAAAATGACAGCTAGCATGTGGGATATGTGTTACAGTATGTTTAATATACAGTATGTTTTTTTGCATTAAGCCCTCAAACTGTTTGTTTCTGAAAACAAGAAATAAGGTTTTTCTATTTTTCGAATGCACTAAAAAAGTGACAATTGATTGGCTGATATGTTTCATGCACTGAGCTCAATGGTGCTTTTCTGAGATACAGGTTAGAATTGTTTCCTCTATTGCTTAAAACCAATTAGTTTTGTATCTAGAACTAACATTCCTTTCTCCAGTCTAGGTCTGCCTGGCACATGCTATATTTGCAAACTGTCTATAAGTTAACAGACAGAAGCCTGCACATACCGGCAGCTGTTTTCTCCATCTGTGTGTAGGGATGCTTCAGCTCTTTTCAGTCCCATGCGGGAAAATGAATGGAACATTGTCAACATGACATCACTGATACTGTGGATTCCATCAGGTTCATCATACAGGTTCTCCCAGTATGATCTCAGGCCTGGTGTGCCAGATGGGTAGTTGCCATACAAATAATAGTCCAGTTGCCCAATTATTTCTTGGTTCACTGCAGCTTCAAATTTACGAGCAAAGAATGTTGGTCTTGCTGTTTGCTATAAATAGAAAAAATATTTGTTAAGATGTATCTTCTACTGTAAATGAACTACAACCAACATTTTTAGGACATATCATTTTATTTTAATTTTAAAACGAATTGCAAATATACATAAAGCGGACCTTGCCCTAAAATGCAAGGTGAGATTTTGCTGCCTCTGCCATCTGTTGACAAAACACTGCATTATGGCAATAAAAAAAAGACTGAAAGAAAATGCATAAAAAATACCGTACTCACCTTACTACCAGGTTCTGTCCGCCTTCTGCTTACTGTAACTGACATTGTTGGGCCCCTCAGAGAAAGCTAGGAAACTTTAATTCTGAGAAAAGTACACTACAGCACTCTACAGAACTATGTTCTGGTAGGATATGGGATCCTCAACTTTCCTAGGATCCCGCAAGAAGACCCACTGATATTACCTAAGGCTAGGCTAGGCAAGCCCATCGAAAACCTGTGTGTAAGGTGAGAATTATTTATAATTTTATCTCAAAGCGCTTTTATTTCCACAATGCAGAGTCTTCACCACATGGGGTGGGGGGCAGCTGCATAAGCAGACCTTGAATTTTAGTGTGAGGTCTGCTTTATATGACACTTCCTCATTTTTAGCATACTCCTGGTATAACATTGTTCCTCTCTTTTAAAATGTTTTGACAGCTACATTGCAAACACATAAAACTTAATTCGTACATAATAATTTTAAGTGATATACAGTACAAGAGCATATATTTTTCTTATGACATAATGCTGCTGTTAACTCCAAATATCATCAGCAAGCAGGGATCAGAGAGTACAAGTGACTGTAGCATATAAACTACAAATGTTCGCTTCCCATTTTTCTGCAATGTGTGTCTTTTAAACTTCATTCAGACCAACTACTGCGACCTGTAGGTCTACCCCCCAAAGGTGCATAGATATTCAACCTGGCAAATTCCCACAAGAAAGCTTACACAATACAGACACTTTTCTCCTGCTCACAAAATGGCTCTTAGTTCTTACAGCAAATGTACACTTTTGTTTAAATCAGGTTTACAGGTCAATAATACACCTTGCAAGGATTTCCCATGAATGTATACCTCTGTGGCTCTATTTTCTACTCTCGTCAATAGACATCTCACAGAGTCTCACAATTGGTGCCAGCTGGAAGCTAGCAGTATTTTAAGAAGCACAAACCCTGCAGGATTTTTGTGTGAATTAATTTCTCTCATACAAAATAAGGCAAAATCCCTATTATAGTATTCATACAAGAAGTTTAGCTGATTATAAAATCCTCAGTGAATTGATGACATAATATTTGATCAAAAAATAACACCAAGGAATAAAGATGGGAAAAATGCAGGTGGTATTCTTTGGCAAATTGACCCTAATCTATCCATACACCTGCTGCTCAAAAAAAGGCATTGGCAAAAAAAAGGCGCAATTCATAGATGGCTCATGGCTAAGAAGAAAGAAAAAAAAAAGATTAAAAATGTATTAATTTGAGTAGGCTAGGTGGTGTATTTTGGCTTTTAGCTTAAAGAGTATGTAAACTGTAATAGTTAACTGTTTCTATTTGCCTCCTTTCTGTCTATTCAATGTACCTAGTGTTTTGTTATAACTGTTCAATAAGTGAAAAATAATACCTGTTGGTTCTGCCAGAAATCCTGTAAGCTCACAAATTCCTGTGCACCTGAAGTGTTATCTCAGGAAGTGCCATCTGCTCTGTCCAGTTCACCTCTATGAACTACTGAACAACTTCCCGTGTTATGGAGATGAGGAGAGGGGGAAGTATTCTGTAGTCCTAACACACTTCCTGTTCTAGGGTGACAACTCTGCTCCTTCTTAGATACAGTACAGTGAGTGGACACTATTACCATAGAACAGGAAGTATGTTACTGGCAGGATAAGGTGAAAATACAGGAAAAAAGGAACAAAAAAAACCAATGCAGATACAACATCTAAGGTGTGGTAATATATGACACTAGCAACAGAATTTTTCTTAAGATTAGGATAGAGTCTTTATCTGTCTTCATCCCATTGGATTTTTCCTTGCTTCCTGTCCTATTGACAAACGCCCAAATAATGGGGAGAACAGTTGTCACCTGAACAGGGAGTCTAAGCAATCAAAACATTGTTTGGTTGCCTGTGAGGTATGCCCCATCACTTCTGAAATAAAAACCTGACAGAGGCTAATCTAATACAAAATTAAATGTTTTGGCTGCAGTTAAGCTTTAAGTAGCATGTTACTTCCATATGCATACACTAGAAGTATAAACCAGAAACGTCTATAATGTCTTTTGCACACAAATTCTCCTTAAAGTTTACTTATATATGATTCTTTTTTTTTTAAATAAATAACCCAAACTGCGTAGCAATTTAGTTTGTGTGCATATTTGAATACTCCAATACCCTGCTCCTTTACACACTTCCAAGATATGCTGCTGCACTAAAAAAATGGATTTTCTTCCCAAACACACATTGATTACTTTACTTGGAACTAATGTTTCCTGGTCAGCTGAATTTTCTGAAAATTACCAGCACTGACAGCAGTCATAAATATAAACACAAAACACCATTATTTACTACTCAAGATAAAGACTGCAACCCACACACCATCTCTGAGTTAGACCAGCATTTAACGTTTACTCTAAAGCTACATAGGCTCCTTCCTGACATCCATTTAAGGGTAAGACATCCTGTGAACCCTTAGTTTTAAGTCCAGGAAGTTTGTCTGTAAACACAGACTTGTCACACTCGATCATCATAATGTTTTGAGTTTAAGGGACTCTATTGTCCACAGTAGCATGTCAAATTCCAATAAAATCTAAATATGTCATGCTTTCCCTCACTGCCCCTTTTACACAAGAGACTGGGAACGAGTGCTGGGACATACCCTATCTGACGGAGACTAGGATAAAGCTTTTGTTTTGACCTTTAAATTGAGTTTATCTAGCCAAATACAGGAAATATATTATCCAGATGGTACAGGTGTCCTGCTATTTTGCATAGGATTTCTCTTCTCTGTCAGGCAGATGTTGGAGATGTGGGACTGGACAAGGCACCATGCTCTATATATGGTGGTCCTGCCACCATCTTCCGCAACTTTGGAGGTCGGTTTTTGCGCAAGTTACCAGGGTGGAATGGCCGCAGTCCCCTAAAGTGCCCCTGTTATTGATCTTTTTTGGTGCCTAAAAGGCATGCCCGGAGGGGTCTCTTTTGTTTCTTGATCCTTGCTTCTAGGGCACTAATTCCTAAATATTGGAGATCCTCCTTGGTTCCACAGACTTGGGAGTAGATGGGAGTGATTAACTATATTATGTGGAGGAACTTACTGCTGGTCTTCACAACCGTAACTTGGAATTTGTAGCTAAATGGAGCACTTGGATGACTTCTCCTCTTCTACGGCTCCTCTGGAATTCCCTTGCATTGAGTAGTTACTCAATGCAAGGGAATTCCAGAGGAGCCTTAAAAGAGGAGACGCCACAGCAGTCCTTGAAAGGTGAGTGTTCCCTAAATGGAAGAGTAGTATCACTCCGCCCACACATGCAGGAAACAAAGACAAAGACCACAAGACAAGAAAAAATGGAAAGGAAAGAAGAGAAGAGTAAAAAGGGGGCCCAGTCAGGGCACGCCGAATGGCCAAGCCAGACCACTACAATAAAGTTTCACAAGCCATCTTTTTTTCTACTGTGAAGTAGGGAAGGGTTCTTGAAGGAAAATCAAGTAGAAAACCATAGGGTAAATATTCGAATGGAGACTTTTCCTAAGACACTGTTCCTGTGACAAATGTCCAATAGGGGATATTTCTTCATCTTGGAGAGATTGACTCTCACTTTCTGCTCTCACATTTCCCAATGGGATACAGAAAGCAGAAAACACAAACTTGCTAAGGGATTTTTGATAATTTCTTACTTTATCCAAATCTGAAATAATGTGTTGGCTTTATAAATACTTCAAAGACTGGACCTGAATTCAGAGAAATCCTTTTGAGATACCTCAACATAATTAAATACAGAATATGTGTTCCCATTTAGCGTACGGGGGATCAGGAGGTATTTAGCTGACCATGCCCTGACGGGCTGTTAGCATGGCAATGGTTAACAGCTGACCATTTAGGTTTGCTAAGTAAGTGAATGATCACTCATTCACCTTTATTTCCCTCATCAGGTTTATTTATAAATGGCCTTTGATCCGTAACACACACTAATCCTGAAGATCACTTGCTGGAGCTAGGATAGGAAGGCTGTGGGGCAGTTTTTTTTAATTATATAGGAGAGATAAACAAAACATCTTCAGTAAGGTGATGTAGAAAAACAACAAAAAGAAGTGGGAAGTGTGTTTAAGAACAGGTGAATATTTCCCATTAAAAAAAAAGAACATCTGTTAGTAGTATGCAAATGATAACAACTCGAATAAAAGTTCAGTACAATACTGTATCAGTTGACCACCGCTATTGTGCACAGTAGTACAATACTGTATCAGTTGACCACCGCTACTCTAGCCACCTTTTGAGGATGCTTTATGAGCAATCACTGGTACTTGAATTTAAACATGAGAATATCTGTGGAAACCATTCCCCAGCATGGGTATCCTAGGAATTACAAAGCAGGTAAGTAGCTAAAAGATGGATTGAAGGTTGCACCTATTCAGCTGGAGTCAGTCCCAAAGAATGAGAAAAAGTGACCACACTTTTGTCTAACCATTGGGTCTGACTCCACCTGGCTGGGTGCAACCTTCAATCATGGAAAGTACAAGTGAAGTAAGGACAAAGCAAGCTCAGTAATTCAAGTTAACATGAAATTCGAACAATAGCACTAACAAGCTAAATCTACAATGGCCAACTTATGAGTGTCAACATTTTCCCTAAAATAGGTGGATGGACCAGGATGCATGCTGAAATCTGTTGACGAGCAGGCACATTACAGTAAACTTTTAAAGGGGGCAGTAAATCATGTATAGACTATAAAGGAAAGTCTGTCGAGTAGATTACTCTGCTGAAAAAGCCAAAAAGTGCTGGATCCA